CCTACTCCGATTATTAATTAAATAATCTTGTAATTTCTTGCGGCTAAAACAAGCAATAGTTTTTCAAGGAAAATTCGCCGAGCTCAACCCAACCCAACCCAGCCCAGCCACCAAGCAAGACCATGAATGACGTGACGTGTCACGCAAATGCCATTTTATTTACCCTTTGAATTCCCATTCTTCGAAAACTGCGATTAGCTTTCTCTACTCGCCCGTTTTCGTACACGGTCTTTGACCGTAACTGTACGCATCCTATATTCCCTTTATACCCCTACCTCCCTTATTAGCTCCACATTTATTGGTCCCAACATCGATTCACCTATATTCTCTCCCGCACAGAATCACTGCCCTTCACCCTATTCTTTGCCTATAAAAACCGACACACCCTTGTTTTTCCCATGCCATTTGTAAATGTTAGAAATCTCCTTGCACCCTCTTCTCTCTGCCGTTTGATCATCTGAAGAATCCTGGTCAACATTAGATCTAACGGTCAACGAAGTTCCCTTCGATCGGCGACGATCAAGCGCCCGCCGATCAATATTATCGGTAATTTGTTTAAAATCTTATCTTAAAATCTGATTGAATGGGAGAAGGAATCGATCAGTTTCGGTATTACCTGATTCGACGTTGATTTTGATGATGATGATTTCTTGTTCGGTGGAATTCTCGTGTTTTTTTTTTTTTCGTTGTTTGGTGTTTGAGCAGGTTTCATTGTCATTGGTATGCTGTATTGTTCTTCGTTGAATGCAGGTTTTTTTTTAATGAGTCGAAAAGGCGATATATTGTTGCTGCATTTGAATCATACGGTCTCATAGCCACGAAATTGGTTTTGCTATGGATTTCTTGTCTTTTTCTTTGCTGATTTCAGGAATTTTCGCTTGAAAATGGCTTTTTGATGTTTATATGGTGAGTTTCTGGTAAATTTTGTGATACTGAAGATTAAGAAAGGAGTTATGTGTGTTCTTTTTTGGTAGTGTTTCATTCTATTTTATGTTTGATGTTATGGCGATTTCAATACGATTCTTAGGGGCTGAGATTTTTTGGATTAACTGATTGTTCTTGTTTATCTCGTCAAGATTTACCATTGAGCAATATTTTAGCTCATATATTGACATTTCGATTAATTCAATCGAATAACGTGTGCTTGTTGGTAATCCTTGTAATTCTAAGGAAGCTGAGAGGGAAACAGACCTAGATATGATGGCATGTCGTGCCAAAGGGAATCAACACAAAATTAGATGATATTTAGAAAAAAAAAAAAAAAATCAATTGCAGCATTATTAAGGGGAGAATGCAATGCCATGATTTGAGACTGCAGATCTCATGAAAGAAACCCTGCAACGAGGGTAGTGATGTGGTAAATGAGGCAAAATGCATTTTGGTAGCTTCCATATTTTTGCACATTTTTTTACCTTTTGTTCCCTTATTGGGTGCTTTCTGCTAACCAGGGCTCCTTGAAATTTGCTATTTGCGTGGAGAGAGGAGAGGATTCGGTTTCTGTTTTTTTTCCTTTCTTTAGATATGCAGGTCTTGATGATTCTTCAGATGTGCAACTTCTACCATTAATGGGGGCTTTGAGACGGACTGTTAGCAACTTGGTGAGAATCATGATATTTTAGGGTAAAAAGGGGGCTGCATTTTTAGACTGTAGTCTTCCAGAGTGTTTTGGAGATATAGGTTGCAATTTGAGTTATACACTAAGAACATCGGCTTCTCAAAATTCTCCCTTTTCGGCTTTGTCTTTTTTCTTGAACTGTTTCTTAGAACTTACAATAGAACCTATATGCTTCCTCCCCTTCATATAAGTCGTTGTATCTGGCCTTCCATGCCTTTTCCAAAGTTTTTATGGGTTTCTATTCTACAAGTGTTCTTGTCACATTCTGTATTTGTATTATTTTGGTAATAGAAGTGTTTATTCCTTGCAAAGTTGTATTTCTTGTTGATTAGGCGAAGTCATCAAGAAGTAAAACTAATGATATTCAACATTAGATGCTTATTGTTATAACTGAATTGAAACTAGTAGGTATTAAAACGTACAGTATGGTACAATTTTAGCATAAATTGAACAAATCAAACTCTTAATGAAATCTGATGGCATAATAGATTTTGAAACAGGCATAAGCTATCAAGTTCTAAAGCAGAACTCAGGTTGGCGCAAGAATCAGCATAATATAGAAAAGCACCTGAGGTGCTGCAGAGCACATCTAGTACAGGTTTATCATTTCTGCAGAAAAGAAAAAGGAAAAAATACTAATATTTACAACATAAGTAATCAAAATTCAAATATTCACTTAATTTTAATATAATATGCTGTTTGAAGGTGAGTTACCACATGACAATGATTGAAATGGTTCATGTAGCTATTAAGAGATTTGAGATAGTCGAATTAAAATGTTTTTGTTATTTAAATCATGGGAAAGAGAGTATGAAAAATTAAATTAGCATCCCGGGGGACATGGCAGTAGCATTGGAGAGTAGTTTGAAAATAATCTTCCATCTAGGTATGAGATTTAGAATATATTTATTCAAGTAGAATTATGGAAGGTGGCCAAAAAAAGAAAAAAAAAAAAGAAGAAAAAAAGTAGAATTATGGAAACCTTATTTTCTGAGTTCTACACTTTTACTTTACAATTTAAGCTAAATATAGAATATTGTTCTCTCCTATATTCAGAAACTTTAACACATGTATGAGATTTGAGTTGGATACAATAGGCTGGATCTGCAGGAATATATCATTTCTATAATGCTAAAGCTTATTTTACATCTGAGTTCTAAGAAAGAGTTCTGTATCAACGAAGCTAACCAATAAAGGTTTTAATCTATTTACATGGGTATGTTATCTTGATTGATGGAGGTACACTGAACCAAGGGGAAGACGCAATCATGATGCAGAATCTTCACATTCTAGCCATGGAAACTGAAAATTTTGTACGCTAAAGATAACTAGGAGAGATTTACAGCTATGTAGGTATTGGTAGCTGCAATGATGACGAACTATTAAAAGTTCATATTCCAGAAGGAAAAAGGTATTTTTCAAATTCAGATTCTTATTCCTCTTCTTTGTGTTTTTTAGAATTCTACTTTTAGGAGGGAGCCTTGGTAAACCTTGGGCCATTGGGTTCCTTTTTGCGGGCTTTTTAAGTGACTATGTAAAAGATTATGTTGGGAATTTTAGTTCCCTTGGTGGCCGCTGGTGAGTGAGAATTGATCACTGAGAACTACTCTGCATCTCTCATCGAGATTTTCTCATTTTGACATACAGAGTGATATATTTTCAACAGTATTTCCTGCCTTATCTATTGACTTCTAATCTTAATTTTAACCTACCTTGGCAGAGAGTCCATAATAAATGTGAATTAATAATGTATTTGGCAACATATTGTTACTTGCCTTATAGACGATCACTAATATTTGTTAGCCAGTTGTTAACTTTGCTTTATTACCATACATCTGAATTGCAGATTGTATCACATGCAGGCACTTTTGGTCCTTGTGGAGCAACAGGAGAAAGAATTTTCCTCTTTGACCTTCTGTGTTCAAATCAAGATTTATTTTGCATAGAAATCAACTTTGTTTTGGGAGGACGAATGGTGGTGGTCCTTAAAAATTCTTTGTTGTGACATTGTTTACCCTGTAAATGACTAATTCATACCCTATTAGTCACAATTCGGAGGTTGTTATATCTGCATATCTTGGTGCTCGGCCAATCCTTTCAATGATGATTTAATATAAGAAATTGAGGGAGATTCCTAGACTGCATTATGTGAGAAGGCTTTGGCATGATGTTTCTGTAAATTTTCCAATAATATTCTGCTGAAATGATTTCTCTCATGGTACAGTTCTATTGAAGCATTTTTAGAAAATATTGGTGGTGATGCAGCTATATATTGTTAATTGTATTGTGGAGTGAGACATATGATGAAAGTTTTGTTACTCCATTCACAAGTCTTTCTAGGACATTACTGATATTACTAAATAGTTGATATATATATTGCTATATGGTTGATTCTCTTACATTTACTTCAAAGCATTACTGTTCTTGTAAGGAAATCAACTTCATATTCCATCTAGAGTTGATTGGAGAATCATCTGAATTTTGTTTGCAGTTGCATTTGTTCACCTAATCCAATTTTACAGTCTCATAAGATTTCAAGTTCCATTTTTCCCTGGTTTTTAGATCTTTGAAGGGAGAGTTCATCCCATATCCATTGCTTTTTTTCCTTTATTTACCAATATAATGCCTCTTTTCCTGATTTATCTCTTATTCTTTACTCAACTTGCCTTTGAACCTCCTGATTGGTTTCCATTAAAATGCAGGTTGATCCTGTTAACAACTTCAGATTCTAGAACCTGATTTATCACATACTGAGGGCTATGGAACATAGGCACTTAACCAATACAATCCAATTGTTTGAGATAGAACATTATCAAAACCCAACCAATGTTGCTGCTGAACGGTCTGATGTTCCTATAGGTATTTTGGATGATTTCATGCTGTCGCTCTCATTAGATATTTCAATTATTCTATTTATTGATGATTGATTATACAGATAAGAATATCTGGTAATAAGCACTTAGGGTGTGCTAGATGCATGTTCCTGAGATTCTCAGAATGTCAGATTTATCAGATCACAGTTCAATATGCTCCTCGGTTAAAGCTGAAGCATTTCTACTCTTTATCAGTTCAGCTTTTACCCTTGATTTTCTCCTTAAAAACATAAAACTATTTTTACCCAAGTCATCAAAGATGTTCCAATGCATGATACACTCAGTTACACAGAATCTAAGACCTAGCATGCCATCTATTGTTGCCCGGATTAACCTTTCCATGTTATTCATTACATGCCCTGATTATTATGCAGGAGGTGCTGTTGTTCCAGCAAATGGTTCTTTTGTATATTCTAGGGAAACTGTTCCGAGAAGTATATTTTGTGATGCCACACAGCAGGACTCAGAACACAGGCCAGTTGAGCATTCTTCTCAAAATCACAGAGTGGGGGGTTCACATGCTCATGCTTTACATTCAGGCCGATCTTATGACTCCTACTCACACTTTTCTGGTGCTGGAAGCATGCAAGCAACCCCAGAGAATGATGCCAGTCATAGTCATTCTAATCACTACAATGGGCCTATTGTTCATGAAGTTGAGGGTGGTTTACTTAATTCTGTAGTAAATAGTGGAAGAGGGCCAGTTAAAAGAAAAGGCTCTGCCTTCGAGAGTGGCAGCACTAGCAGATGTTATGATGCAGGAAGTTCCTCCAACTCACTTGAATTTCATAGGGAGAAACAAGTGTCAGATTGTGATAGTTACCCTTCAGGTTTCTTTGGATTGCCTCACCATAGGGGAGGTAATCTCTCAATTGGCGGTGAAGCACCCATAAGAAATGTACGAAGAAGATGTAGAATTGATTTGGAACCCAACCCAACAGGAACATATCTATCAAATTATTCTTCTCATTTTAATTCTGCAACAACTCATCAGTCAAGTGATTCTGGGAGAATGGATGTGACTTATTTCAATGGTGTTGCAAATGTTTACAATCAAAATTATGTTGGTATTTCTCCTCCTGCACAAGGAAGTTTGACGTCACCAGGTTCGTTGAGGATATATCACTTACTTTTCTTGGCTTTGATACTATTGCTAAGAAAGGTGTTCTCCCAATTTGCAGGAAATGTTGGCTTAAGAAATGAGATGAACCAGTACTTTGCTGGAGGAAGTACCGTACAGATTGGTGGCTTCAACAATTATCCCATTTCAGGGAGAGTTCCTGTTTCATCAGTACAATATGGTCACAATGTTCATGCTCAGGTCATGAGGGAGGGCCACAGTAATTATTCACAAGCAGCAGCTCCTTCAGACACCACTAGGACAAGTTCCTCCCATGTCAGACAAGAAACAGCCCACATGGAAAATCATCAGCAGTTTCCATCAGAAGCTTATTCTTCCAGATTTTCTAGGCCATTATCTGCCAGAGGTTGGCGCAACCATCGTAGTGATGCAAGGACAAGATTGGAGAGGTTCCAATCATTTTCAACTGTGAATAGACGTCATAGAATGCGATCTGAGGTACTTAATAGCCGTCTAGAATTTATACTTTATGCCATATAAGTTTATTGAACTATCCTGTCAATGTTGCAACTGAAGCTTCTTCAAGCTTCAACATTTTGCTTAGGGTTCTAGTCAGGCCAATGTCTTTCATCCTTCAACATTGCTTTCATTCTTTTTTTCATTATTAGTGGTCATAATAAGAACCATATGGGAGGCAAGTATTTATGCTATTTGTTCATTATCATGAATTTGCAGGCTCTTTTGATGGGGGATGGCTCAAATATGTATGGTTCCAGAAATTTGTTTGATCAATATAGAGACATGAGGCTAGACATTGACAACATGAGTTATGAGGTTATTGTCTAATTCTATTGCCACATGCCGCTCTTGTGGTTTAATAATTCTGATTTGCTTCAAATCACATTGTCTAATATAGGAACTGCTTGCCCTTGGAGAAAGAATTGGGAATGTCAGCACAGGGTTGTCTGAAAATGTAATGTCTGAATGCTTGAAGGTGTCATCGGACTCTTCAGACAAAAAGGAGGAAGATGCCACGTGTTCCATCTGCCTTGTAAGTAAAACTTATCCCTGCTTCCTTTATTGGAAAGGGATTGATTGGAATTGTTGATTCACATCCAAAATATTTCATGAAATCATAACAGTATTGCAATGTGAATTTGTGATGAAACACATATTACCAGATCCATTGTTATGACCTGTGATTTTGAACCATCTGATTTGAGCATCCATTCCCGTTCTTCACTCTTACATGGTTAAATTATCTCATAGAATCCAGCCTTTGACAGTTATTACAACACAGATGAGATGCTTGCTTACTACTACATTCTCTCCTTGCTACCCTGAGGTTAGTAATAACATTCTAAGAGTTTTGCTTGTTGATCATTGCAATTGACAGGAAGAGTACAAGAATGATGAAGAAAATGGGACGTTGAAGTGCGGCCACAATTATCATGTAGTCTGTATTAAAAGATGGTTGTCTATGAAGAATGCCTGCCCAATTTGCAAGGCACCTGCTATTGCTGATATTTCAAAGGAAGAATGATTTAATTCTCAGTTTCTCACTTTTCTTTCTTTTGTTATCTCCATCACCCCAGTGCTGTACATATGGATTCATTTGAGTTGTGGTTTATTAATATCAAAAAAAGAGAAGTGTACTCTATGACTTGTTTGTAGAAACTCAACTTCATAATCAAAGCCCATTTCATTTCTTTTCATTTTTGCAAGTCCAAGTGATTGTTGAAACTCCACGTAACTCTCATGGGGTATAATGCAAATTCAATCCCGGCTGATGCATATCCTCCAATCGGCCATCCAGCACCAGAAAATATGAAGGCATAAAAACTTAGACCTTGCAAAAGAAGAATCAAATAGCTGCTTTGAATTGATTCAACCTTTCGTATGCTTTATTATGCAATTACGAAAGAGAGAATGATGTAAATTTCCCACGGTTGGTTTCTTGCGAAGCTTCATAGAAAAATGCGATGGATTACAAATTTCATTTTGTATACACTGACAGAAAATCTATAAAATTCTAAGCTTCTTGATCTTTTCCCCGAGTTTTAAAGAGAGATTCTGCAGGGAGATGACTTCCAGATTCGTCATTGGTAATGACTTCTGCACCAGCCATCAGCTCTCACTTGCTTCTCCAGCAAAATACTGTTTGTGGACCATTTTTCTGTAATCTGAGTGGAAAGAAGATTGATATTTTAGAACATTTGAAATCTGTAACCAACATAAAGATAAGATAAACAGAGTTGAATCTATCTAGCAAAAGTAACAGAACAAGATACTCTCTAGGTATCACTAGGCCTTTGTGTCCTAGCTAGAACCACAAAAACCAGACCAGGAATGCTCTTTCCATTACTTCAAAGACTGATAACAAATAGTGTTTAACATGCAGGCTGTATCTGGAATATTTGTCTATATGAAGGTTTTTCTTATGTAGAAACCAGAAAATAATATGGGAGATGGCTGTTCAAGCTCCAACCTTCTTTATTGCTCCAAAGTGCTGCAGCATAGCTGTTGAGGGGACTCTCAGGGTTAGGTTCTGCATGCAAGAAGAATTCTTGACCAATTAGAATGATAGTTACCAGTTTCATGGATTAAACATGCAAAGAAGAGAAAGCAAACCTCCTAGTAGACTTTGAATGGACAGAAGAATGGTTCTGCAATCATAAGCAGAAGACCACTTGTCCTGTCACAATATTAAGAAAGAATTTGTTAGCATAGAAAATCTAAAAGAGAACCTTAATACCACTAAACATGAAACAAAAATGCCACCATGAATGGTTTAACTGTAAACCGATATACTTGCTCAATTGCTACCTGAAGGATATCAAGGCAAATGTTCCCAAACTGATCAACATTCGGATGAAAGCACATGGTTTCAAACTTGACTTGAGGGGGCTTGAAGGGGTAGTCCAATGGGAACCTGAGAGAAAGTTTGTACGATAAACCCTCGTACATAGTTCCTTTTCCACCTTCAATTGTGCCAATCCAAGTAAAAATGCTCTCCCCTTCAGGAAATGCTGATACTCCCAGTTCTCCTCCACTCATCTGCATAAGAAGACAATTGAATATTAAGTGAAACTCTAGTTCTAAAGGAACTAATAGCGAAAACTTTTCCCACATAGGAAGTTGCACCGTGTACAGTTAACAATTCTGAAAGTAAACACTTTAACAAACATGGTCCCAATATACTAATTGTAAAAGTACAATTGATGTTTCTCACATGACATGAGGGAGGTGAAAATATTCACATACCATAAGAGACATGAGCTCTTTCTGAAGCCTGCCAAAAGGTTAAAATAGAAAAGTGAAAAAACCAAAGCCATAAAGCTTGTCACTTATCTCACACAAACCATATCAATGAAATTCAAATAGCAGAATCTCCTGTTAGGCTCTCAACCACTCAAGTAATTACACGCAATTCTAAATAAAGGCTAATGAGATGCGGGCAAATCTTTTGGAACTTTTCTTTTTTTCACAACACAAAAAAAACAAAATGTACAAAATAAAAAAAAATAAAATAAAAAAAGTTTTCTTTCAATCATTGTCCAATTCTAAAATATGATTAACCAACATTTCCTTCACCAATTTCTTCCTTTTCTTTTCTAGAGTTTTCTCAAAGACCAAACAGCATAATTCCAGAGAAGAACAGAACAATTCTTTTAGAATCGGAAAGAAAAGTCAAGAAACAACTATTCAGCAAGAAAACAGACGAATTCCAAAGTTTGCTTTCATTTTTTTCCTCGACTATTGTCAGACCAAATCAAACCGAAAATTTAACAAAACTTCACCTCTGAGTGACCGAAGTGGCGTCGACGGGATTTGGAGAAGAAACGGGCTGTTTGGAAGAGGCGGCAGTCGCACGTTGCTGCTGCTGCCGCGGGATCGACGAGTTGTCGACCGTCTGATTGGGCCGGATCTCCATCAGGATCAAACGCTGATGAAATCAACTGTCAGTATTCGATGATGATCGGAATGAATTAATCAATTAGCTAAAGTGATGATTAATTGACGAATTCAGTGAT